CTCGGCCCGGAGGGCGGGGCCGCGGGGCTCTGGGGGCGGCGCTTGGCAGCTGAGCCCCGCCCTCACGGCCCCCCAGGTATGGTGTGGCAGCTTCCAGGTGACGACGGGTCTGCAGGTCCCCAGCTCCGTGCGCTGCCTGCAGAAGCGAGGCAGCGCCACCAGCAGCTCCAACACCAGCCTCACCTAGGCCGGGGTGGCCCGGGCCGCCGCCAGGTCGCGGCTGCTCCCGCCGGCACCCTCCCCTCACCTGCTGCTTGGAGCCTTAACTTCCCACGGGGTCACCAACAGGGTGCGGGCCCCTGGGCGGACCCGCCTCACCCCTAATAAAGGTCAGACACTGGCCAGGCTGCCATGCTGGTCCTTTGGGGCGGGGTGGACCTCTGCTGTGTGGTGCTAGGACCGCAGCTTTCCCGACTGTGAAATGCGGGGGGGGGAGAAGGTGGTGGGTTTTGCCGAGCCGAGGGTCGCTGGGGTCAGTGGGGCCTTCTGGGGGCAGACGTCGACAGACCCCTCCTCCCACACCACCCAAGCCAAGCCAAACGCATGCATCCTGGGGTCACTGGGGTTTTAATCCCGGGAGCACGCATCGGGCAGTCCTGAGATCAGCCCGCTGGTCCCCCGTTGAGTCCTGGTCAGTGCTCCAGTGCCCGCCTCCTCTCCAGCTTCTTCTGTAGCTCCGCCGTCACATCCGCCAGCCCTGGGGTCAGGGCCTGAGGCTTAGCGGGGTTGGGACCCCCAGACAAGCCTCCTCAGTCCCCATTACCGACATCCACCCAGGGCCAGCTATAGATCTGGAGGGCCTGGTGCAAATGTGTCCAAAGACACTCAGAATTTCTTTTCTTTCTTTTTTTTGGAGTCGGCGTCTCATTCTGTTACCCAGGCTGGAGTGCAGTGGCATGGTCATGGCTCACCACAGCCTTGATCTGCTGGGTTCAGGAGGTCTTTCTGCCTTAACCTCATGAGTAGCTGGGACTGTAGGCATGCACCACCATGTCTGGCTAATTTTTAAATTTTTTGTAGAGATAGGGTCTTACTATGCTGGCTAGGTGGATCTTGAATTCCAGGTCTCAAGCCATCCTACTGCATTGGGCTTCCAAAGCACTGGAGCTGCAGTGCTTAAGAATTTCAAGGCCAAGCACGGTGGCTCATGCCTGTCATTCTAGCATGTTGGGAGACCGAGGCGAGAGGATTACCTGAGTCCAGGAGTTCAAAACCAGCCTGGGTAACATGGCAAGACCTCATCTCTACAGTAAATCAAAAAATTATCCGGGTGTGATACGCATCTGTAGCCCCAGCTACTCAGGAGGCTGAGGCGGAAGGATCACCTGAGCCCATCAGGTCGAGGCTATGGTGAGCCGTGATGTGCCACTGCACTCCAGCCCGGGTCACAGAGTGAGATTCCGACTCAAAAAAGAAAAAAAAACTCCCCCAAGACAATAGCAGAGCATTAAATGGCAAAGTGCCTCCAATCTCAGCACTTTGGGAGGCCAAGGGGAGGATTGTTTGATTCCAGGAGTGTGAGACCAGCCTGGGCAACATGGCCAAACATCGACTCTACAAAAAGTGAAAAACAAAAATAAAAATTCGCCGAGTGTGAGGACTTATGCCTGTAGCCCCAGCCACTTGGGAGGCTGAGGTGGAAGGAATAACTGAACCCAGGAGGTTGAGGCTTCCGTGAGCCATGATGGTTGCCATCATGCCATTGCATTCCAGCATGAGTGACAGCCCGACTCAAAAAAGAAGTAAATGGCAGGGTGCTTTGCTGTAGGGGACCCTGTGTGGCTGCAGGGGTCACACAGCCAGGGAGCTAGCCCTGCATTCCACCTACATCGCTTACCCACTGGCTGGACTGAGTTGGCTGCCAGCCTCCTGGCCAGACCACCGCTGGGGACTTTGGGCTCTGGAAGAGAAGGAGGTGAGGGCTGAGGCCGGCCCGCCAGCAGGTGAAGGAAGGACTGGGGACATGGGGGGAGGACCCCTACCTGGCTTGGATCCAGCGGGGGGCTTCGGAAGCTTTGCTGGAGGCTTTGCCAACTTCTTGGGCTTCAGGATGACCGGCCGACTCGAGGAGGACACTGCTTGGACAAAGGTGGGACGCGTCACACTGGACTGTCTGCTGGCTCCCCCCAGCTCTCAGCAGGCCCAGCCTCCACCCACCGTCCTGGTTCTCATATTCGGCCACCGGAGCTTCTCCAATGGGGGTCACGTAGTTCTCCTCCGGGCTTGGCGGCAGGGGCAGGGGAGGTAACGAGGGCAGCTTGTCCTGGCTGGACACAGGCGCAGACGCAGGAGGAAGCACCTTGGGGCCGCCCGCAGGGGTCGCAGGACCTGATGGGGAAAGTGGTCACTGTCCAAGCCCATGTGGTTCGGGGACACCCCAGGCTGGGTCTGTGTGCATGCTTGGGTCCATACCTGTCTTCCTGTGCATGTGTGTGCCTGTGTAGACTGGTTGAATTTGCATTAATTACATATAAGTGCAAGGTTTGTATGCACGAGCCGACTGTGTGTACACAGGATGCTGCCTGCCTGCTAGACATGCTTGAGCCCTTGTCTAGTGTGTGTTATGCATATGTGTCTAGAAATGTCTGATTTTGTCCTTGTGAAGCTGAGGTGAGTGGATGGCCTGAGTCCGCGGGTTCGAGACCCGCCTGGGCAACTTGGCGAGACCTCATCTCTACATAAATCAAAAAAATCAGCCGGGCGTGGTAGCGCGCGCTTGTAGTTCCAGCTACTCGGAAGGCAGAGGCGGAAGGATTGCCGGAGCCCAGCGGGTCGAGGCCGTGGTGGCCGGAAGCGGCTACTGCACTCCAGTCTGGGCGACACAGTGAGACCCCAAGTCAAAAAAAAAAAAAAAAAAAAAAAAAAAGGGTATATTGGCTGAGCCTGTAATCCCAGCACTCTGGGGGTGGGGCCTGAGGCAGGAGGATCGCTTGCACCCAGGGGATCGAGACCAGCCTGGGCAACATAGCAAGATGTCGCCTCTACAAAAAATCAAAAAGTCACTGGGAGTGGTGGCACCTGTAGTCTCAGCTACTCAGGAGGCTGAGGCAGGAGGATGACTTGAGTTCAGGAGGCTGAGGCTGCACCCCAGCCTGGGCAACAGAGCCAGACCCTGTCTCTAGCAACAACACAAAAAAGAGAGGTGTATCTGTGCTGCGTGGGGTGTAGGACCCTTGCATTCACGCATGTGGGCGCTTTTGTCTACACGGATGCAGGGTTCATGGAGGATGCACATGTGTGTATGGATGTGTCCTCTGTGTCCATCATGCACTGGGGTCCTGCATCTGCCCAGGCCAGGGAAGAACATCTCGCCCACCCCACAGGCCTTCCCAGGATGCCATCTGTCCCCTCCTTCCACTCCATAAACCGGACCAGTTTCCACACCTTTTGCAACACTGGCCATGATTCCCCATCTCTGGGCAGTTATGATTCTGTCAGGGACACCCTCTGTCTCGCCCATTTCTTTCTCTTTTTTTTGAGTTGGAGTCTCACTCCGTCGCCCAGACTGGAGTGCAGTGGCCACTCCCGGCCACCGCAGCTGCGACCTGCCAGGCTCCGGCGATCCTTCCGCCTCAGCCTTCCAAGTAGCCGGAACTACAGGCGTGCTCTATGATGCCCAGCTCGTTTTTGATTTATTGTAGAGATGAGGTCTTGCCAAGTTGCCCGGACTGGTCTCGAACCTCTGAGTCCAGACAATCCTCTCACCCCGGCCTCCCAAAGAGCTGGGATTATAGATGTGAACCACTGTGCCTGGCCTTTTTTTTTTTTTTTTTTGAGTAGGAGTCTCACTCTGTCACTCAGGCTGGAGTGCGGTGGCACGCTCACGGCCCCCGCAGCTTTGACCTGCTGGGTTCAGGCCATCCGTCCGCCTTGGCCTCCCAAAGTCCTGGGATGACAGGCTGAGCCACTGAGCCCGGCTGTCTCGCCCATTTCTACCTCTTAAAATCCTTGGAGCCGGGCTCGGTGGCTCAGCCTGTCATCCCGCGCCTTTGGGAGGCTGAGGTGAG